TAACTTACATGAAATTTTAATTTTAAATAATTGAAAAGATTATTCATTATTATTAAAATATCAACTTGGTAAACTGAGGGGACATGTTGCTGATAAAAATATGGATCTTCTCTCCTAATTGTGCGTTGTAAGCGTTTTTCCGAAGAATACTAAATTTCGCGGTGTAGCAAAAATAACTGTGACAGTCTCATCACTGTAACGGTTCAAATGACATGCTACAGTCCATAGAATTGGTGAAGGACAAATGCAGCCAAAAGGCAAAAGCCAAAATCTAGTTATTGGCTGTACAAGAGCCAGATTACCAGCCCTAAACATGGCGACTATATTATTGATGACTTCGCGTTCACACGAAGAATACAAACAAAGCAAATTTCTTAAACATGAGATATCCTCGTGATCTTCTTGACAACCATGATTCAATATCAACGGAAAGTGGAAGGGCAGCAAAATTTCAATCGGAACTGCACTTACAATTTGTGATATTAAACCATTTTACCCAGGAAATGGCTAGAAATTCTATGCTTATTACTTGTTTTGACGAGGATACTCGTCGTTGGCCGTTAAAGCATAGCACATCAATGGCTAATTTTGCATTTTGCCCATGCATAAAGTATCTAGATTTCGCTGCGTATAATGATAATGGCCGTGCAAACGAAAATTGGAAATTTTAAAATCATAATTTACGGAACTATCAGATTTTAGAGATAACTTAGTTTTTGATTGCAGTTATTCAACTCCTATGGCCATTGCGAACTGCAATTGACTTAATCTTACATCTTTGTTGATGTATATCCAGTCGTTGACTGTTGGTGCTCGTATTGACTGACGTTTCGACATTCTTTGCGGTAGTCACTTTTAGAAAAGTTGTCAATTTTCATCTGTGATATATTTATTTCATAGTTGCTATAGTCTTTGTGTCTCATTTTTGTTTCACTTTCATTGTCGATAATCATTGTCGTTTGATGCAAAATTGCTGTCTTCTTACATTGCATGCGATTTCTGTAAATGGGACTAAGATTTCGGACAATTTTTATGAAAACAATTGACTTTACAAAGAGCTACCTGTCTTAATACTTCCTGCTATAACAGAAAACGCACAGGAACATGAAATTAATTTGTTCTACACATATTTATGATACAACAGGCAACACGCTAGCTTTTGTAATGAGCGAATCTCGATGGATTTCTTCATTGCATGGAAAGCTGAAAACAGACAATGACAAAGTCGAAGTTAAGCCAATTGAAAATTTCTGAAAGTTGGAATGAAGTGTTGAAACGGACCTGGGAGACATATTGTCTTCACACTTTTCCTCTCCCAAGAAAACCACTCTAATTCAGTTTGACGAAAGATTATTTCCGAGCACTCACATTTATACCAACTTGGGGCAAGGACGTCTTTCTTACTTGAGCTACATACTAAATGAACAAAAATTACACCGACATAACCAACAAAATAAAGTAATCTTGTCATTTGCTATACCAACCGTTCTCTCTTTGAAATTTGAATACCATAATTCTTCAAAATTTTGTTCAAAGGTTTAGGTGTAGATGGCCAATATGGGCCGACCAACTTCTGTAAACAATCTCGACAAAAGATTTACCACTACAAAGTAGCTACAAACGTTGTAAAAATTGATGCAGTTGACAGCTTCATCAACCGTATGAAAACTACTAAAAACATTTTCTTTGTTATAAAAAGCCTGAGCTATGAATAGCAAACATCATGATCAATGTAATATACTTCATACACTCTTGCTATAAAGTGAGAGCATAATCAGAGAATGATATCCAGTGAGCATGTGACGCGTTTCAGCCAATGAGAAGCTTTACCTAAACATGATGTAAGCACGTAAATTTTCTTTTTGTTTCACTTTCAATATTTATCAGGTCCTAGTCTTTCTCCCGTTAGACTGTGATATAAATGTAGTTTTGATGGATGGAAACCATTAAGAAAACGACTTGATTATGACCGCGCAAAATTTGAGAATTTAAGCGAGCAATGTTTTTGAAATATTTGTTACTTCACTTCAAATTTTGAATATCGGAGCAAAATTTTCTGCCTATGTTAAAGATATACAGATATATAGAGTTGTAGTGAAGGTGAATGGCACCGAAAAGAAAGCGAGAAGTCCCAAAGAAGGTTGGCAGACAGAGTCAAGGGAATTAAACTGAACATTTTGCCCTATTACGGTATTAAATACATCCATGTCGATTGATGAACAAGAAAATAAATTGAACGATTCTATAGAAGATTTTCTACTCAAAGGTAAATTTGTGAACAAAATTGTGTATTATCATTGACTGTTCATGTAATTATTAAGGATAAAAATAATAATAAATTTGAAATCAGCTGTTGATTTAATTCAAACCTCCCATGTTGTTATTATTTTCAAACCTTATTTTGTACCCCCGAAGAAATTTTAGAGCACACCTAAACTGAGGTGTATATCATCAAGATTACGTCTGCTTTGACCTATAAAAATTTTACATGGTTTTGTGTACAAATAATGCACAAGAATTAAGTCTATACATTAAGTGTTGTTATGGATGAAGTAAACCAATCATCCGCTGAAGATGTTTGTGATTTTAAGCATATGTATTTGTATTTCTACAGTAAAGAACAGGAGGAAAGAATAGTAAAATGCATTTAAAAAGCCAAAGCACAGACTGCAAATGCTTATAAGAGTCCAAGCATTAAAGTTGTTAAGGTATTGAAATTATATTGATTATCTTTTCTTGTAAATGACTTATATGGCTCACCACCATTCAAATGTCTGTTTCATAAATCAAGAGATAAGTAGGTCCAATAAATGACTTATATGGCTCACCACCATATAAACATCTGTGTCATACATCAAGAGATAAGTAGGTCCAATGTAAATGACTTATATGACTCACCACCATATAAACGTCTGTGTCATACATCAAGAGATAAGTAGGTCCAATGTAAATGACTTATATGGCTCACCACCATATAAACGCCTGTGTCATACATCAAGAGATAAGTAGGTCCAATGTAAATGACTTATATGACTCACCACCATATAAACATCTGTGTCATACATCAAGATAAGTAGGTCCAATGTAAATGACTTATATGACTCACCACCATATAAACATCTGTGTCATACATCAAGAGATAAGTAGGTCCAATGTAAATGACTTATATGACTCACCACCATATAAACGCCTGTGTCATACATCAAGAGATAAGTAGGTCCAATGTAAATGACTTATATGACTCACCACCATATAAACATCTGTGTCATACATCAAGAGATAAGTAGGTCCAATAAATGACTTATATGGCTCACCACCATATAAACGCCTGTGTCATACATCAAGAGATAAGTAGGTCCAATGTAAATGACTTATATGGCTCACCACCATATAAACGCCTGTGTCATACATCAAGAGATAAGTAGGTCCAATGTAAATGACTTATATGACTCACCACCATATAAACATCTGTGTCATACATCAAGAGATAAGTAGGTCCAATGTAAATGACTTATATGACTCACCACCATATAAACATCTGTGTCATACATCAAGAGATAAGTAGGTCCAATGTAAATGACTTATATGACTCACCACCATATAAACGCCTGTGTCATCATACATCAAGAGATAAGTAGGTCCAATGAAAATGACTTATATGGCTAACCACCATATAAACGCCTGTGTCATACATCAAGAGATAATTAGGTCCAATGTAAATGACTTATATGACTCACCACCATATAAACGCCTGTGTCATACATCAAGAGATAAGTAGGTCCAATAAATGACTTATATGGCTCACCACCATATAAATCTGTGTCATACATCAAGAGATAAGTAGGTCCAATGTAAATGACTTATATGACTCACCACCATATAAACATTCGTGTCATACATCAAGAGATAAGTAGGTCCAATGTAAAATGACTTTATGACTCACCACCATATAAACATCTGTGTCATACATCAAGAGATAAGTAGGTCCAATGTAAATGACTTATATGGCTCACCACCATATAAACATCTGTGTCATACATCAAGAGATAAGTAGGTCCAATGTAAATGACTTATATGACTCACCACCATATAAACATCTGTGTCATACATCAAGAGATAAGTAGGTCCAATGTAAATGACTTATATGGCTCACCACCATATAAACATCTGTGTCATACATCAAGAGATAAGTAGGTCCAATGTAAATGACTTATATGACTCACCACCATATAAACATCTGTGTCATACATCAAGAGATAAGTAGGTCCAATGTAAATGACTTATATGGCTCACCACCATATAAACGCCTGTGTCATACATCAAGAGATAATTAGGTCCAATGTAAATGACTTATATGGCTCACCACCATATAAACGTCTGTGTCATACATCAAGAGATAATTAGGTCCAATGTAAATGACTTATATGGCTCACCACCATATAAACGCCTGTGTCATACATCAAGAGATAATTAGGTCCAATGTAAATGACTTATATGGCTCACCACCATATAAACGCCTGTGTCATACATCAAGAGATAATTAGGTCCAATGTAAATGACTTATATGGCTCACCACCATATAAACGCCTGTGTCATACATCAAGAGATAAGTTGGTCCAATGTAAATGACTTATATGGGTCACCACCATATAAACATCTGTGTCATACATCAAGAGATAAGTAGGTCCAATGTAAATGACTTATATGACTCACCACCATATAAACATCTGTGTCATACATCAAGAGATAAGTAGGTCCAATGTAAATGACTTATATGACTCACCACCATATAAACATCTGTGTCATACATCAAGAGATAAGTAGGTCCAATGTAAATGACTTATATGACTCACCACCATATAAACATCTGTGTCATACATCAAGAGATAAGTAGGTCCAATGTAAATGACTTATATGACTCACCACCATATAAACATCTGTGTCATACATCAAGAGATAAGTAGGTCCAATGTAAAATGACTTATATGGCTCACCACCATATAAACATCTGTGTCATACATCAAGAGATAAGTAGGTCCAATGTAAATGACTTATATGACTCACCACCATATAAACATCTGTGTCATACATCAAGAGATAAGTAGGTCCAATGTAAATGACTTATATGGCTCACCACCATATAAACATCTGTGTCATACATCAAGAGATAAGTAGGTCCAATGTAAATGACTTATATGACTCACCACCATATAAACATCTGTGTCATACATCAAGAGATAAGTAGGTCCAATAAATGACTTATATGGCTCACCACCATATAAACGTCTGTGTCATACATCAAGAGATAAGTAGGTCCAATGTAAATGACTTATATGACTCACCACCATATAAACGCCTGTGTCATACATCAAGAGATAAGTAGGTCCTGTAAATGACTTATATGGCTCACCACCATATAAACGTCTGTGTCATACATCAAGAGATAAGTAGGTCCAATGTAAATTAAACCAACTATTTACTTGTCACTTTTAAAGTTGCATGTGAAAAGAATACAGTTTTAGTCTGTTACGAGTACTGTATGCTGTTTTGTTTGTGATGAAATAATACAATGTTTGGTATTTTAGGACAAGTCTTTCATTACCTGCTAACAAACCAGTCGTGTCAAAACTAGATCCCATCCTTCAAGATCATTGGCATATCCAAGTTTGCAAGTTTTTTTCCAGCTTTTCCACTACATCAATATATCATTCCAGGTCTTGAAATGTTGTTTTTACCTTTTTCAGAATGTACGCCAAATGAAATTTAAAGAATTTCTAAGTGAGTACAGTGTTTAGTCAAACAACCTGGCTGAAAAATCTGATATGCAATAACATTTGCAAATCTTGCTGTTTTTGAGAAATTCTGTTACACCATTGATGTCTCTATAAACTTGGGGCACCTGTGTCACTACCTTCAAAATAATTAACCAATAAGTGACTAAAATATAGAATGCAAACAGATAGCATATTATGTATATACTTAACATTTATATCATCACATATTTGTAAAAAGAGTTTCATTGGGACAATTATCTCATTATTCTATGTAACTTGTGGTTCCTGGCAGATTTTCAGAGGTGTATACCTTTTAGACTTTTATCATAGAATTTTATGACTGAAGGCTAAAAAAATTGCAAAGTAATCTTCACATTGTAACTCAACCAATATCTTCAACACTCAGTAACATAAGGCCCTCGCTGGCCTTTCCCCGTCTTCTTGAAAATAGCTAATTACATTATTTTGCATGGAAATTTCAGCGAATACATAATTAATTTATGTGCGTTCCGTTTTTTGGGACACCTGTAGATAGACCTCTTCTGGTATCAGTTACTCTTCCTATGATACAATTTTATTCTTTATAGACAACACAGGAAATGTTGATTGAGCCATTACTGCGCAGGTGCGTACGTACGTAGACAACCTTTAAGTCTGTGAATGTGACACATTTGAAAGAGCTCATTGATTTGTTCTCTGACGTACAGAGAATTTGTTCATGAAAGTGAAATTTCTTTTCATACTTGTAAAACACTTTTTGTCTCCGAGATCTAGTATTTTTAACAAAGACTACATACGATGTTGATCTTTGACACTCTCAAATTATTTAGCATTGATGAAATATCGGAGACGAGTCTTCGATACAAAGTTTCCAAAGCATGACAGACTTCACTTTGCCACAATTCCTTTACCACCTTCCGTGATTTTGTTTGTTGCGAGGTGACATCGTACATAACAGAGCTTCAAGCATCAGGATCAGTGACTGACAACATGTCTGTTAAGTCAAGGTTAAGATGAACTGTTATAATTTGTGTTTGTCAACAACCATATGTGATGTTTTGTCTTCAAGAGTGACGGACGCTGAAGGAGGGAGAAAGTCACTATCTTTACGTATATTGATAATTTTACATTAAAAGATAAAAGTTTCTCCGATTTTAAGTGATTTTATTGAGCTTTCGACTCGTTGCTTCGAGCTTTCATCAGAATGAGGATATTTATTTACACGTGCTTTTTAGCTTGGAGACGTTTATAGCGTCTAATTGGATTAGTGGGTGGATTAATGTGATTGGATGGGGTGAAATGCGTTGCCATGGGTTTTGTGTATTGTGAATATGATTGGTGTTAATAATAGAGTGTAGTGTTTTAGTTTTGGTGTTGTTTGTAGTTTTTTTGTGCTTTTTCTTTAGTTGTGAGTATATGATGGGTATGTCAATATGTCTGTTTATTGTGTCGTTGTCTTTACTGTACCAAGCTTTTTTAAATTCGCGTGCGTGTTTAGTCTGTGCGCGTCCGAGTACTTTAGTTTCTGTCCAGTCGAATGTGTGGTTGTTTCCGTGGGTATGTTCTGCCGGTAGTGAGTTCGGATCTCGTCGTTTTATGGCGTTTTTGTGTTCTGTGAGTCTTGTTTCAATTTTCTTAGATGTTTGTCCTATGTATTGCTTTGAACAGTCCTTACATGGTATCATGTAGATCGCGTCAGTTGTATCATGAATTGTTGTTTTGTCTTTATGTTTGGTGAAACATGATTTGAGTTTTTGTGTAGGTTTGTGGGCGACGTTAATATTAAATGGTCGAAGAAGTCTGGCAGTCATTTCTGATGTTCCGTTTATGTATGTATGGTAATGTGACGATTTTTACTGTTTCGTCCGGTTGCTTGTTGCTTTTGTCGGTTTGTGTTTTGTTTTGCATTTTGTATATAGTTTTGTTTATGAAGTTTCTAGGTAATTGTTTTTAATAAATGTGGAGTATAAGTAGTTGCGTTCTGTTTTTTTGGCTTCTTCAGTATTACAATGTGTGTTTATCCTGTTGAAAAGTGTTCGAATGCAGCTTATTTTGTGTTGTGTTGGATGATTGCTGTTGAAATCGAGTATTTGGTCTGTGTGGGTGGTTTTGCGGTATACTTGTGTGTTTAGTGTACCGTCATCTGTTCTGGTTAGTAGGATGTCGAGAAAGGTAAGTTGTTTGTCGTGCTCTTCGTCTTTAGTAAAAGTAATGTTCTTTTGTGGTATTGTTTATGGTGTGTAGATTTGTTCAGTTTTATTTTTTCTTGACTATGGCAAAGATGTCGTCGACATATCTTTTCCATAGTCTGATGTTTGTGTTGTTTGTGACTGATTGTGTTTCGAGGTGTTGCATGACAGCTTCTGCGAGGAATGTGGATAGTGGTGATCCCATTGGTGTGCCTGAAATTTGTCTGTAGTATGTGTTTTGGAAGGTGAATTCACTGCAGAGGCAAAGGTTGAGTAAGTCTAGGATGTCATTTTTGTCTAGTTTTGTTGTAGCTTGCCAAGTTTTGTCGTTTGTGAGTAGTTCGTTTGTAATTTGTTTGGCGATGTCTAGTGGTATGGATGTGAAGAGTGATGTCACGTCGTAGGATATCATGATTTCGTCTGGTCGTAGTTTACTGTTTTCAATACTGGCGAGGAAAGTGGTGGCATTTCTGATGGTGTGAGGTGAATTTTTGACTAATGGATACAGAATGTTATAAAGATATTTTGAAAGTTCATACGTAGGTGATCCTGGAAGTGATACGATAGGTCGAAGTGGGTTGTTTTCAGGATTTTTGGTAGTGCGTAGAATTTGGCGGTGGATGCGTCATTGGGTCGGATTCTTCTGTAGTCATTTTCGTTTAGTTTCTTTTTGTCTTTTAGTTGTTTCAGTTTCTGGTTGATGCGGTTGGTGGTCGTTTTGCTGGGGTCTGTGTGGAGAAGTTCGTAGGTGGTGGTGTCTTGTAGGAGGGTTTTGCTTTGTCGATGTATTCTGATTTGTCCATGATAACTGTTTTGCGTCCTTTGTCAGCTCGTAATATGATTATTTGGTCGTCGTTTTGTAGGTTTTTAATTGCTCGTAGTTCTTCGTAGTTTAAGGTGACAGGTGGTTTGTGGCAGAGGTTATTTGTGATTTTGTGACGAATGTCTTCCTTTCGTTTGGTCTGTTATTGGTTTACTTTAAAGCGGATTCCAGGTCGGCAACGTAGTCAAGTTTGTTCGCGTCTTTAAAGTTGTAATTTAATCCTTTGTTAAAAATTTTAGTTTGCTGTTCGGTTAGTGGTTTGTTCGAGATGTTTGTGACAAATTCGTTTGTGTTGGGATGGAGTTTTTTAAGTCTGATTCTTGTAATTTTCGGATGAAGTTCGTATGTCATTTTGTTTTATATGCGGATGTTGCTTTTTGATGGCTTCATTAAAGGGTTATATCACGAATTTTAGCCCCTTTTTATTAGCTTAATTGAAAATTTGGATTATTTGAAGAACTATGACATGTCGCTGGACTTAAACAGATAAATATAAGTTCCTAATTTTGCCTCCAAAGTCGGGTAATTTTTTTGCGAATTTTTACGACGCCATATTGATACTTGTGACGTAGATAGTTGAACACGTCTGTTTCCGTCAATATAATATTATATTATAGAGTGTTGTCGTTTTTCTTGTGTTAAAACAAATAATGACAGTATTTTCAATAAAATATTAAAAACAAGTTGTCCGGAAAGTATGGCTTCAAATCAGTGCTCAGATAATTCGAATTCGATGTCTGAATGCGTATCTGATTCGAGCTCGGAATCCGTGGGTTGTCGAGCATTTAAACGACTTCGCATATGACGATGAACCGCTCGCAGGAGATGGTGAGGAAGTGCATACTCCAGATGATCCCGATGGAATTCTCCCTGCGACCTTAGAACAACGAAGTGATGGCGTAATTCCACTCGGTGAATGGTAAGTTGTTGTTTTCTCCTGTTTGTAATATACATAAAGTTACTTTATAAACCACAATGCTCCCACGTTTCAGGTGTAATTGTCAATGCTGTCATACCGATTTGTTACAAGGCGCATTAGAGTACAGATGCTGTAAGGAAATAGGACCAGCTTTGCAGAAAATGACATTCGATGGCAGCATTGAGAAAATATCATGCATAACACAGCATGCCAAATTAGGGCCTTTAGTTCATGAGGCTGTCCTTGAAAACGTCGGGCCACTATTGAGAGATAGGAATGGACGTGCTTATCGCCGCCAAGCATCACAATCATTAAATATGTAAGATTGTAAATTGTATGAGAAAGAATTTATCATCAACATTGTTTCATCAACAATAATTAGTCCAACCTTTTTATTTACTTCAGGTACTTGAGAGCTGTGGCATACAGATGGTTGATGCGATGGTTTTGTGGGTCTATGGGATGGGAGAATACTCGGCCTTTACCTGCTTGTGTTTACCACTTTATTCGGAAAGCATATCCAAGTGGTAACACAACAGGTTACATACCATCAGAGGCAATGATGGAATAGTCTTGTGCACTGTAGAGACTGTTGACCTTATTTGCTGAGTTTGGAATGGTCAGGAAATATGCCTAGATGAAAACCAAATAGGAGATACATGGATGCACTATATAAGTTGACATGCAGTTTAATGGTTTTGAAACAAGAGTAAACAATAAAACAAATTGGTGCAACTACTGAGAGGTTAAGCTGAAAGAATTAAATGAAAGAATATCTTTCTTCAATGTCAGTCTGGGAAAAAGACAAAAGAAAAAATATATGGAATTAAATCATAGCATAAATGTAAAATGGAAAATAGCAAGCCGTTCAAATGGCGAATCATTTGCTTCCCAGTGCATACTTAAACATGCTCAGCTTCATCACTAGTAGATGGTACTTCCTCATTGAGAGAACATGTTTCCTTCAGCGATGGCTTATGGAGAGTATGTCGAATAATCTACAAAACTTATATCGAATTTACTTATGACAAAAGAAAATTAACATAAACAAGCGTAAACTTTACTTGTCTTCGCTTTCGATCGGTTATTTCGTCCTGTAATGGTTCAGGAATCCCAGCCACGTAATGGTTGGGATAGCATCTTTCTTCAACCTTCTTGAGCTTGACTTACACGCTCAAATTTAGGTCAAAACAAGAATCTTCAAAATGCGCAGAACACAGACACGAGGTAGAGGAAGCCTCAAAACCCGGTCTGTGTTTACGCACAAAATTTACCCATTTTCTATGTATTTGCGGCTCTGTTTCTTTTTTAGGAAACAGATGCATCGACATTCCTTCGGTTTTTGAATCATTGGCGCAACTAATTTGATTAGGTCCGCCAGCAACACAGCGTTTTCTCCGCGTTTTTATTAAGATTACTAGTAGAATACGCCATGTTGATATATGTGTTCAACTATCTACGTCACAACTCATTAGCATACCGATCAAAAGTTCGCAAAAAATGCTGAAAATCGTGACTTTGAACGTCCATAAAATCACTTTCACCAATCCAATTTCAATTATAATTGCAGATTTAAAATCACTGAAATAAGGTCTTTCAATTTAGCTAATAAAAGGGGGCTAAAATTCGTGATATAACCCTTTAATGGATTTGGCGTCTGATTATGTTGTGTATGTTGTTACGGCTTCGATGTTCTTGTAGTTTATGACGGTAGATTCAAGCGGTTGTGGCATCTGATATGAGAACGTTTAACATACGGCGGCCGTTTGATTGTGCAATTTGTCGAGCGTGAGTTGTTTTAATGGTGGTTGATGCTAATTAGTAGGATTCGTTGTTGTTTGCATTTGTGTAGAAGTGAAGCTGCTCAAATGTTGATGTCTCTTTACGTGCGAATAATTCCCATTTTCTTGTTCTTCTGAGAATATCTATCCCATATGTCGATTTTATAAGTTTGAAAATTTGTAATCCAGGCATTTAATACATAAAAGATAAAAGTTTCTCCGATAATTTTATATTTCATAGAAAATGAGTAACACAACGAGTTACGACACCATGTAAATTGATTGAAATGATTTGACACAATCCTCCTCCTCCCCGTAAAAATTCGTCAATTTACCCGAATTATTTCCAAAATATATAACCGTTCATTGCTAAGAAGTGTTGTTTTATTTGTTTATAAAACACAGAGTTTTATTTTTTACTTTTAGAATGCCATTGTCAAATCTCTTGTAAAATCAATAGCTCAGGTAGGATAATTGTCAGTTGTGGTTAACCATCATTTTAAAGCCTGCTCCCCAGTCACCCATATAACTCATGCATACTTGTTCTTGATCTCCCAATTGCAAAAATTCTTCTTCATACTTTTTGTAAATATCGTAATATCAGAGAACGTACGTATGGATCAAATAGAAAGTTGTATTTATAGATTTTGAAATATGAGCCAGCAAACTTCTACTACAATCTGTGTCGTTATTTCGCATGAAACTTTACAAAACTTGTTCGTGAATTGTTCGTGTTAAAAGTATGAGAGCTCCAAACCTGGGGAGAGGTTTGTCATTCATATTACGTAAAGTCTTGTTCTTATCCAAAACTCACATAGCCACAATCACCCTCACCACCATTATCTTTATCACATTAACCCTCACCACTTTATCCCATACCATCATCACCGTAATCCCCAATCACCCTCACCACGTCCTTTTATCCACATTACTCATTTTCATTATCCGTTCCTACTTAGAGTGATACCTATGACTGGATCACCGCTGACCAATGATGTTGCACCCTTGGACAACAATGCTCCCAAGGTCATCATACTATTAACATGTGTAATTAGTGATTTCATTTTAGTGCCTACTTTTTGATTCCTAGTATCAATTGTGTTCTATTTAAGAGTAAAGATACATTGTGTTGCACATTCTTATGCAAACCGAGGAGACCTTTGGGAGAACTCGAGAGTAGATTAGTGCAAGCTCGAGACCGAAGATCGAGTGTTGCACATGCTCGTGAATTCTCACAAACGGTTTCTAGGTTTGCACAAGTCAGTGCAAACACGAGAAACATCTTTTATTTCTTTTATAAAATAACAATAATGCGAAACAAGCGAACATTTTAATTTTTCCTCTAAAATGTATTCATGATCGATTGCAAATTTTCATTGACTAGTTGATTTTTATGATTGATTTGATTGGTTGAGCTCAGATGTTTTTGCACAGGCTAATGCAAACACAGCTCTAGACCAATCAGCGCACACGTTTCATTGTGTTTACTTATAATGTTTGATGAGGCCACCGTTGTATGACAGAAGTACAAAGACTCTCATACACACGGAATTCTAAAATTTAGACACCGTACCTAATCATTGAGCATATAAGTACTAGACATTTCTGTCATACCAACCTTACATGGAATTTGAATTTTGAAATATTACATGACCAACTTCTAGTGATTTGGTCAACTATCTACAAATTAGTAAGGGTAGAGCACGATCGTGTGTGCTCTATGGGATTGAGAAACCCTCGCATTAGATACAAAATTTCATTTCACTCGGGCACCGTCTTAGAACAATGTATGGCCAAAGCCAGAAGGATTACTTATGGTACTGAATTTAAGATGCTGTATTTTATACAAGCATCTTTAGTTTACAGCTGATGATTGTTTTCAACGAGTATTTGAGATGTTCCATGTAAAGGCAGGTTTTGTTCAAAACTCTCGAAAGTTATGAACCAGGGACATTGTATTGGTATAGCTCACAACCTGTTAAATTAAACACGTTCTATAAATATTTACGAACAATGTGAGGTAGATTACATTGACATGAAAGGTTGAAGATTTTCAAATGATTTTGGAAAGGTTACGTGCCCAACAGCCCTCTAAGAAAAGAACATTTTCAGTGATGAACAAACAAGATGACAAAAGGCCAAGTTCTACTCTGGTTATGTCAGTTTTAAAAGCACTTCAACAACCTGCTACAGTAGTTGTTTCAAGTCCATAGAAAATTGACGTAGATAAGAAGAAAGAAGCATGTGTTAGTACGACAAATACACGACGTACTTTAAATTTATTGAACATGGGAAAACACGTATGTTGTTACATTTTATGTAATACACATGTGTTTGCTTTTAACTTTGTGAGCAATTATTAGTTTTTCCAATTTTTTCTTAAGAGTTATTTTAGTTTTAACATGAATATATTTACATCATCGAGATGCGTTAGAAACGCGCAATTTCATCACCTTGTTAGTTATTCAGATGAAATGTAATGTGGAGTTACGACAGTCATTAGTATCCTTTAACCTCATTGGTATTTTCTATTTAGAGTGATACTAATAAAGAAGTGAACAATAAAGAACAATATCTTGTTAGTATGCTCTATATAGGAATACAAATGAGATTTAGTGAATGCCATTAAGCTTTAATTGTATTCCATTGTTTTCACTCCATCTCCGCATTTTACACACTACAATATGGAGCATCAAATTACGGAACGCTGATTGGCCGAGTGATTTTGGCTATGTTCTAATCCTTGATATCTGTAGGTATGACGTCATATCTACGAAAATAGTTTCTGCAATTATAGACGGACGCCATAAAAAGCCCTATTTGAAAAAAAATCAAATAAAGTGATGTTTACCACAGTTTCTAAAAACAAAAGGAAAGCTTTTGAACAAAATTGATGCGGAAAATACTAAAAAAGCGACGAAGCTGATTTCGAACATATTTACAGCATATTTAAAACAAGAAGAAGAACTGAAAAATCGTTTGACAATTACAAATAAGGGCAGGTTTGGAAATGTTATACATTGATGAGTGTAAATAATATTTCAGTTTGTTGAGGTGAATGATAAAACAATTATTCAATTTGTTTTTCGTATGTTATCAACAATTGTTCATACCTCTGTCAACGTTATCCGCCCCCAGCTTTGCTTCGGCAGATGACATTGACCTCGGTCTGAATAATTCTAGATATCATGCTCAACCTCATGTAAAAACTGTTTATTATTAAAATATTAACTTGCTAAACTGAGGGACATTTTGCTGCTATATTTGTGCTTTATAATCGTTTTTCCGAGGAATAAATTTCACTGTGAAGCACAAATCACTGTGACTGTCCCACCAACTTATAATGGTTTAAATGGCAGAAAAATTACAGTCCATTGAAATGAAAAAAAAATAATTGAAGCCAAAACGCAAAACAAAAAAATGAAAGCCAAAATGTACTTTTTTTGGCAGAACAAAAACCAGATTACAAACCCTAAACATGGCGACTGTATTATTGATGACGTCATGTTCACATCAAGAATACAAACTTCAGGTATAAAAATTTCCACGTTATTTTATTGTCCGAGAGGAAACTCGAAATGTGGCAATATTTTCAATCTGAAGCTGCAATAACAATTTGTCATATTTTACGTCATTTTAGCCAGTAAATAGAAAGAAACTTATCACATGCTTTCGCACGAGACCTGTCGTAGGTGGTCAAAGCACAGTACACCAACAGCTAATGGGCAGTTTCTCATTCTTGTAATTTTACCATGCATATAAAGTATGTCACGTTTTAAATTTTGCCGTATAATAATAATGGCAGTACTAAGGAAAATTGATGTCCAGTTTGATGTAGTCTTAAGAAGTGATTGAATGCTGGTGTTTTAAGGTAAACCTACCACCAGGGTGCCCCTAGCGCATGTGTGAACGCTACAGCTTGGTGTAGTCTTAAGAAGTGGTTGTATGTAGGTGTTATTAGTAATCCTACCACTAGGTGCCCCTAGCGCATTTCATGGGAAATAGTCGAAACAAGTTCAACGCATAATTTAATTATGATTTAAGCAAAGCAAGGTAATATATTTGAAAAATACCATTTATACAAATAACATGTAAATATATAATTTAATCGGTGAGCAAAGTTTGTGATAGACGTGCTGTATATAGTATTTTTATGATACAACTTGCAATATACAGTATATATATCATTAGAGGGAATCAGTGGGGAAATAATTTCTCAACAAGCTTAAAGGTTTACACATTTAACTTTACATATTTATCATCCAGTGTAAGCTACAAGAATTTTTAGAAGGTTATAACGTTTGATGAACGTTTTTTTGGTTATACATACTTTTGTCCAAAGGTAAAACTTCTGCATACATATCGATTCATTCATTGAAGGAAGATATGTAAATGAAGAACTACTTCCCATTTTAAAACACTCCACTGAATTAAGATTCTATCTTTATCATCCTGACCTCCCATGACAACAATTGTATCACCTGTTATAACTGCACAACACCCAAATCTCTTTTCCAACATGGATGGTAAAACGGTAATATTACCTGTTTTGCTGTCATACATGATAACACTGCTCAATATTTCTCTTCGATTATCACGACTCCAAGGAGAACAACTTGATCTCTCCATTGAACTGTTGCCAGTCAATGGATGAGGTAATGGAGGCATATCCTAAATTTAAGTGTCCTTGGATCAAACTCCAAAACACTTGACAAAACTTTCATACATTTTCTATATCCTCCTAAAATATAAATTTTCTCATCAACAACAACAGCTCCATGGCCATACCGGGGTTCACGCACATGACACAACTCTTTCAAAACACAAGATGTTGTACTGGTAATCTGTATTTCACTGATCAGATCAGGCTCCTTTACCAAAAATACTTCCTCCAATGTGAATGACTTTTGTTTATGAACGATAGTTTGATGAGCACAACATTCAAGGAAGCTCTTAAAATTAAGAAATGTCTTCCATGTTAAAGGTAACTGATTGTTTAATGCCTCTATTGACTTGCAGTGAAGTCCTCCAACAACAAATAAATTATTATTATAAATAAATGATGAAGCACAACTGTGTACTTTTTTCCATTGATGCAGTCTTAAACCATCTTCTTTCCATGAAAATATATTTCAACCCTATTTAAGAAGAAAACTTGCCACAACCTCCAGCAATCAAAATATCACCCTTTACTGAATTCGTCACCATTTCAATTGATGATGTCGTTTGAACATGTTGTTCATTTATATTCATCTTTTCCAACATTTGAAACATCACGGTTTTAATTTCTTTCATTTCTTTGGTCACTGCAGAAAGATTTTGTTGAACATTTTTTATTTCTTCACTTGACTCCAACAATTCTTTCTGTATTTTTATATACTGAGATGTCAATGGTTTCACTGATTCTTTTACTTGAATAAATTTTTGATTAATTTTTCTATTGATTGCTTTCTATCTTTGTCTATTTTCCTGCTTAAGTTGCTCATTTGTATTTCCATTTTGTCTTCAAAACTTGTTTGAAACATTTCTTTAATCTCTTCAAAGTAGTGAGAAGCAATCTTTCTATATTCACATAACTCAGTTTCATGTTTAATCTTGTCTCGTTTGTTTATTTCCATCACAACGTTCATTAGAACACAACACTGGAGCAAAGCCACAATTTTCAACATGCTTTTTGAAGATCGTCGACATTTATAAATTCAGGACAACCACGACTGGCGTAGTCGCACTTAATCTTTAACTTTGAAATCATATTATTTATAACACGCGCTGGATGGAAGCGTAGCTACAGTTAAAACAACTTGACATTGAGGACATCTTTGTGCATTAACTCGTAGATGTTTTTCAATACATTCACGACAAAACAGTGTTGATTATGGCACATTCTGGCATCTTTCATGACATTCAAACAAATTGAACAGTAAAATTTTCATCAACAACAGTCTAAATCTTGATTCTTCATATCCACTTTCATAAACATTAGGACGACTAGCCATTTTATACGTCTTCTTCCTTTATGATTTAGTCAAAATTAATCCAAGAAACAGACAAAATTATTTGTTTATTTTACAATTAAAACTGAAAAGATACGTTGAAGATTGCAGTCGATGTTTGATCAATACGGAAGTTGGAAAACAAAGAACAATGTGTAGTTGTGTTTTATATAAGTAATTTAATACTGCAAAACTAGATTACGTTCATTACGAGCGGTGGTCAATCAAATCACTATTATTTATCTCTACGTGAGGATTGGACAAACAATTTGATTTTCAATGAGTATTGACATCGTTTCTTTTGCACGTACGATCCCGTTTTGTCTGTCTTCAGAGGCGGATTTAAACTTAGTCAACTAAGTCGGGCGACTAACGTATTAACGTGTCACTTTCAAAAAATTCCGTGGGTATTCCTTAAATTATAACACTTGAGTGCTTTAAAATTTCCGCAGGATTTGGGTCCATATACCGATTTTGATTGGTTTAAATTGATCAATTTGCGAGCATTCATTGGTTAGCGTATCGTGCATGATCTGCAGGATCTATGTTCATTCTGTGATTCTGATTTGCCCAGACGAACCAGCTATATAGCTGTAATTGGTGGAGATTTCTTGCAGGATCTATACCAATTTAAAGCTTGTGATTGGTCAACATTGTTAGTTTTTGCAGGATATATCTATTTTGGTATATGATGTTGCCGAATCTTCGGATTTGATTGGTTGTTGTAGCGAACTTAGTCGGAATATATTTGTCTGCTTCATTGCGCTTGAATATTTATCGATCGTCATGGCTAACTCTAGCAGTATTTTAGATCGGGTTCTCTGACTTAAAAAAAGTGATGATGTTGCTTTGCTTAAGACCTTTGAGGAATTATGTGGTATATATAATTCTTCTCGTTTCTTAATGCCTGAAGAGCATTTTCCTTTAATTGGACGATCTTTGTATCGTGATGTAAATGCTGAGACAGTCTATTTGCCTCATCATGTGAAGGCCGACAATACGAAGCCATCGGTTGCTCTAAGGTAAAATTAGTTAAATTAAGATAAGTAGAAATGAATATAAGCCTAATTGCGTAGTTGTTATGACACGTTAAGACCAAAACTGCCGATTTGTTGTCATTTCATTGTTGTTGAAATGATCGCTTTTAACTCGCTTTGTTGACATTGCATAAATTGTTGCAGTCTTATAATAATCAAGAAATCTTTCGACTGCTGTTTTATTAGATCTGAACCATCTGGAAATTGCCTATACAGCTCTGCTTCTCTGGCCTTGGTTGGAAGCAATGCTCTCATTCACACTTTGAGAGCTATGGTATCTATAGAGCTTTTTATATATGCAAATTATTATTGTTATCATCCAATATTCACTTCCACCTTAGAGAAGCATGGTGACAAGGTCTCTGTTAGTGCAAAAAATGTTTTGGCTATGTCCTGTTGTTTTGAAAGTGTGGATTCAGGTTTATCAGGGCTTGATCTTGTTAAAATGGAAGCTCTTTGCAACTGTAGAGATAAAATTTGGGGTAGTTTTTGTGTATACTTGCTCTCCTCAGTTACTAATAGAATCATTTCTTTGATGTATCCTGATTGTGGAGAAGTTTCTTTTAAGTTGTTGTTCAACCAAATTATTTCACCTCGTCTTCCTTTACCAACACCACCTACTCAATATAACTATTTATACCTCTTGTTTTGTTCTACAACTCTATTGACTTCTAGTAAAGTCTTTAAGCCAAATCACTTTGCACCTCTTATTTTCAAACCTATCAGTAAAACTAAAAGAAAGGCTTCTGCTTTGTTAGAAAAAGCTAACAAGAAAATTCCTCATGTGAAAGGAGAGTCTTCTACTGTTAACATTTCTAATTTTTTTCAACCAGTTTCAACCCCAGCAAGTAATAAGGCTAAACAATTTATTTTGCCCAAATTATTTAGTACTACACAAACACAATCAACACAAAAGGTGCCTGCCATCACTAGTCTTGGTTTAATACATAACCCAAAACAAGAACTTTTGCAATCATTTTCATTAGATTTTTCACAGCAATATCCAAATGATGTGAGATATTTTAGAGAAAAAGCTAGAAATATGAATGATTCTCAAAAGCTCCAGCTCATTCACAATGTTTTAAACCGAATAGATCCTACCCATTTCCTAAATCAGCTGATGGTCGATCTTTTCTTTATTCGTGGCTGGAAGATTATTCTTGGTTGTGTTACTCCCCTTCTTTGGATGGTGCTTTTGTCTGCCTTGTGTTTTGTTTGGTGATCAGTTTCGAATAAAAATACAAAAATTAAAAACTTTTAGTGAACCAATGACATATTGGCCTGATGCTAAAGCTTGCTTCAAACGCCATATTGGTTTGAGTTCTAAGGCTCTCACCAGAGCAGGTTTGCATGAAAGCACAATAAATATTTGTCATTAGTTGGTCAGGCATCAGGAGAAGGACTGCAGATTGAGGTGTTGATTGATGAGCACAAACAGCAAGTCATCAGGCAAAATAGGGAAAAACTTGTATCAATAATTGATACTATTAAACTTTGTGGTAGACTTGGGTTAGCATTAAGAGGGCACCGGATGATTCTTCATATCATCCGGAGGTTGGTTCTTACTCAAAAGGTGGTGTTGGTAACTATGTTGAATTGTTAAATTTTCGTTCAGGCTGGTGACACAGTTTTAGCTGATCATTTGAAAAACTGTCCAAAGAATGCTTCTTATATTTCAAAGACTACTCAAAATGATCTAATTGCTGCTTGTGGACAGGTTATCACTGAAAAAATAACTAGTGAAATAAAAATAAATAAATTTTTTAGTATAATTGCTGATGAAGCAGCAGATTCTGCAAACAAAGAGCAGCTTTCTCTTGTGATTCGTTTTGTAGATAGCAATAGGAATGTTAGAGAAGATTTTGTGAGGTTTTTGCACTGCAAATGGGGTTTATCAGGGGAAAGTCTTGAGAAATTAATTCACAGTGCATTAACAGAACTAAAATTAAGCATTGAGGATTGCAGAGGTCAGGGATATGATGGAGCTGGGGCTGTTGCAGGGCATATCAATGGTCTTTCTGCACGCATTCTTCGTTTGAATTCTAAAGCAATCTACACCCACTGTTACAGCCATAGGTTAAATCTTGCAATATGTAATTCATGTTCTGTCCCTTTGTCAGAAATGTTTTAGTCAAATTAAAGAACTTTCTTACTTTTTCAATCTCTCTGATGGACGGCAAATGTTACTTTCAAAAGCAGTTGAAGACTATTGCCCACATTCAGGTAAATCAAAGTTAAAGGATGTTTGTCGAACTCGATGGATTGAGCGAATAGATGGTCTAGATATATTTCAAGAATTATTCCTTCCAATTTTTCATACTTTAACTGAAATGAGCCATAATGCTGGTCATGTGTAATCCAGAAACATCTTCTAAAGCTTCTTCTTTCCTAGCATTGATTTCCACCTTCAGATTTATTGTTAGCCTTGTCATTAGTAGAAATATTTTAGATTTAACACTTCCTGTTACTCAGTTATTACAAGCTAAAACCTGTGATGTTATGGATGGAATGCATTTAATTGAGTCATTAAAAAACTTGGGAATTTTATTGAGGAA